ACAGAATGAATAGCTTTTACATGAGGACGACGATAAAAGCTTGCGGAATACTGATAATCTTTTTGTGGAACTGCTATGGATCAGGTAAGCTTAGTACGTTTACGTCTATTGGTTGCAGTTATAAGCTGGGGATTATTTTACTTTGCATAATCTCTTAAAAATGAAATGGCGATGGCAGAACATACATATATATATATATATATTGACACTTGCATTTCATAATCTCAAGAAGCTTACCAATCCAAAAGGGTGTATTTATCAATAGTTACGAAACGGTGATTAGGCTCGCGCAAAAGTATACTGTCTTGTCATTAGTTATAGCAATTGTAAATGCACGATACTTGCTTCCATTCCTAAGAAAACAAGGTTAAATGTGGAAACACAAGTAAGACATTTATCAATTTCAGATGCATTTACAGAAATATAGTTTGCCCATAAGATGTTCGAAATTATACATTTAGCATTGCACACCTAATTGGCATTCCTAGAAGTCTGAGATACGGAGCTATCAAATGTTTACCTCCCTATAATAAACCATGGTCCCCCTAATTTCTCAAACATCACTTACTTTACTGTGATTTATTTTCACCGAACTAAGAATCATAAGTATTGTATTGTGGATGTTGATAACGTTCGAAATATCAAAACTTAATTGAACGTTTTCTTTCTATTCGGTTGTTTTTAAAATTTAATTTTGGTAAGATAAATAAGCATATATAGCCTGTTGATATCAGCGAATTCATGATTTTTCGCGTTAATAAACAATAATATCGACCTCATACTTATTCCTCTGTCGATATACTTCTTGCTTTGGTACTATAAAACTATGTATTGTATATTATCGCCATATATTTTTGATCACATATATGCCTTTTATCCACTGATTAATTTTGCGTATATATTACGTCACGAGCGTTATATACCGTGAACCGTTTTTATTGGCTTCGTCAATCGATTGTGATATCCTAATATGGATAACGACATTACTACTCATAAAATAAAAGTGACGCAACAAACTGGCTGCATCCGTTTGATATTATTCTCTAAATTTAATTTTAAAACTTGTCAAAAAATAACCTTTCTTAATCATATGATAAAACAAATCTATTTATTTCAAGTTTAAATGATATTTTATAAAACTCATTGAGGTCTCTCGTCAGATAAAGAGTGTTTCATGATTGACTGGGATTAAATGAAGAGAGTTTAGATTCATGGTAGCTAATGTATTTCCTGCTCATATCATAGAATTATTATTAAAAGACAACTTCGTCTCGGTGGTTGTCTTTATAGCCTGGATACCAATCACCGATAACAGGTTTACGGAGTGCAATTTGTTATTGGTATATGTATTTCATTCCTCCTGCCACTGAGCTTTTAAAAATTGTTTAATAAATGGTTTATAAGCGGTAAAATGAAGTTTTAAAAAACAACAGGTGGTAGCGATAAAGCTTCCTTTGTGGCACGATCTGCTTCTTCATTGCTTGGTATTCCCATGTGCCCAGGAACCCAGCAAAAAGCAATAAGAAAGTTAAAGGCAAGTTCATGATATAGTATTAAGGTATTACGAATGAAAATATTTTCGATATTTCTATTGCTAAGATTTTCTAGAACAGAGAGTCTGAATGGAAAACATTACTTTGTTTCTTTGAATACATTCAATGGCGAAGTAGATAGCTCGCGCTTCTGCCGAGAATATTGAGGCGTTGTTCGGTAGCCGGCATCCATAGGTTTTATCTTGTGTAACCATGGCCGCAGCAACCGTATCATTATCTTTTGAATCATCAGTATATAAATGTAGACATGTTTCATACTTCAACTGCAATTTCGAGAAGGATGAACGAAAGGTGTAACTGTCTGTGTCTGATTGAACCATTTCAACTTCAGATGAATTTATGAGCTAGGGTAGAATTTCTATCGTTCCAAATGATTGAATTTGGTTAACGTCACTATTTGTGTTTTGTAAAAGAGCGGAAATTCGAATACCAAATGATGGAATAGGTTTTATATTTTGGATCAAATACAGGGAAAAAAGCAGGATTTGAAGGATTTGACCTTACCTGAATGGTGTATTGCAAAGCCAATTTATTTCGACGGCTATATAGTGATGGTTCGTTAGCCTCTACATAAAGGCTTAGGTGTGATCTTAAAAGCTCCGAGAGCGAGCCTGAGACCTTGGTGATGAACAGTGTCTGTCTAATAATTTTAAATATGAATGTCTAGTAGATCCATACACGATAGAACCGTAGTCCAATTTTGATCTAATAAGGGGTCTATAGAGTCTTAGCAAAACTTTTCTATCAGTACCCCAATTAGTGTGGAACACAACCTTAGAATATTCAGTGCCTTAAGGCATTTGGCTTTAAGGTATTTTATGTGTGGAAGGAACGACAATTTCCTGTCGAATATTGCATCTAAGAATTTCGTTTGCTCAACAGCCGGAATGGGTGCACCACAGAGAGACAGGTTTTGATCGTCCTGCTGTTTCCGAATTCGACAAAAATGCAAACAAACTGTTTTTGATTGTGAAAATTTAAAACCCTTGTCATCTGCACAAATTTGTAGTCGATTCAAACATTGTTGTAGTTGTTTCTCGATGATATTCATATGTTTAGATCGATAACATATGATGAAGTCATCGACATAAAGAGCGCCTTCCATTGAAGGGGATAATGTTTGACAATACTGTTAATTTTAAGTCCAAAACCGAAAGAATGCTACCTTGTGGTAAACCCATTTCCTGCTGATGGACATCGGAAAGGGTCGTTCCATTACGGACTTGAAATACTCTATTTGATAGAAAATTTGAAATAAAAATTGGTAGATTACCTTTAGTACCTATATCGTGCAGATATTTCATTATGCCGTATTTCCACGTTTTGTCGTAAGTCTTTTCCAAACGAAGAAAACAGCAACTAAGTGCTCCTTCTTTAGAAAAGCCCCACTCACAAAGGTTTCAAGTCTAACCAAATGATCGTTGGTACCTCGCTTAGATCTAAAACCGCTTAGTAGGGGTGATATTATGCGATTGGATTCCAGATACCAAATTAATCTTAAATTTATCACCCGCTCTAGAGTTTTACAAACGCAACTGGTAAGTGATATTTGGCGGTAACTGGAGGGATCTGTTGTATCTTTACCCGGTTTGGGGAGAGGGATCACAGTTGCCATTTTTTATGACTTTGGGACATTTCCCGATCTAAAAACATAGTTAAAAAGATCTAGAAGTTTTTCTAATGATGACTCTGGTAGATGTTTTAGGAACTGATAGTGAATATCATCAGGTCATGTTTCAGTCATGTGATTTTTTCAACGATTCTCGAAGTTTCAACATGGAGAAATGTTGATTGTAAATTTCATTGTTTTCGGAAGAGAATTTCAATTTAGTTATTTCACGCGTGGTCTTAAATTCTAAATGTTTTTTGGAATGATTATTTGCAGACGAATTTTTGGTTTTGGAAAAAGCAAATCCTAAAGCATTTGCAATATCAAATTTCGATGTGTCTAATGTTCCATTAGTTTTCAGATGTCCCATTGTTTTGAATGATGTTTTACCACTGACTTGTTTAATCATATCCCATACCTTTTTAGTGGATGTATTTGAATTTAATTTGGACACATAAGATCTCCAAGGCAATTTTTTGTGTAAGCGTATAGCACGACGGGCTTTCGCCCGAATAATTTTGTAGTTGTTTAAGCTATCGCTTGTGGGGTTGTTTTTGCATTGCCTCAAAGCAGTTTTCCTATTTCGAATAGCTTTATCATATCATAGAAAGAAGTTTTCGGTGATATAAATTTTGTAATAGCAAAGTTATTGCACTTTTAAAGAAACACTACCTCGAATCAAGTAATCAAAATTTTCATCAATAAAAAAAAAAAAAAAAAAAACTTGATCGTAATTTCCTGTCGTCTATCGATATTCAATTGCTCGGAATTTGATATTTTACAGGGAACAAAGGGATACCGATCACTTTACATGATGTACTGTATACACAACATAATAATAGGATGGATGTAATCACCGCATTGTTTGTTTGACCAAGTTACAAGTAAAATACCACAGGAGATATTATTCATCGACCATCACTTGCAGAATTATTGATCACAAGTTGTTCAGTCCAAATATTTAGACATTATCTCGGAGAACTTAATGTAAAAGTGAAGAGTTACATTGTTCGCACCGATGTCTCATTACAAAGAAGAAATTAAGGGAATTAATTAATTTTTTGTAATAAAATAATAATTGATAAGATATTTTGACTATTACCGAGTGAATTCGTCCATTCAATATTTTATATATTTTTTATGTATGTCACTAGCATGATATACCTTGGAGTGATTTTCATTGGCTGCTCCAGTCAGTGATATTGACAATGATGAATCGAAAATGGCACATCAAAATGACTGCCTTCATTTTGTTATGTCATCCACATTTATTACTTTAAACCTATCAAAACGTATTTTTACAGAGTTGTGATGAAAAGTATCGAAAAGTATCTTATATTCACTTTCATTTCATATGAGATTTTATGATACTAAGTTTCACAAAAATAGGAACTTCTATGACTCGATTCATAAAACCTCATGTAATGTGAATTAAGTTCAGAGCATATATATCCGATTCATGTATTTGGACGTTTTCAAAATTATCATGGTTTGTCTTTTTATGTTGGTAGTTTGATATAATCCCCAACCGTAGACTGTGATCCCTCTAGTAATACTGTGCACTGTGGTGAAATAAGGGTATGAAATATAGTCCTTTGTTGATCAAATCCGAAATGTGACTGATGTGACCAATACATATAATCTATTTAGGAATCGTATTTCTATCACAATACAATGACTAGTCTACTTATTATATATTTTGATAATGTTGAGCATGCATTCTATTGTGACGTTCGCGTATGAAAAGTATTCTTTGAAAATAAGTACTTATCTGATTTCCACTGATTAAAGTTGACTAGTACGCGGCACAGCACTATATAGTACGATGGAATGATATAATGCCGGAAGAGCAGAGGACAGGTAGGCATAACGAAATAAAGACTACATACCTCCGAAATAATTAATTGACTTTGCGAAGAAGAATGAACGAATCATCTGGATAGAACAGAGAGCTACACTAGCTCTCATGTCCACATTTTATATCATGTACAAATTATTATGATATCTTTTCAGATATCAAAAACACGTTTTATCGTATTGACGAACGATACGGTAACCAGCTACCAGTAACAGGGATTTTGTGGAAGAAAACTGGCATTGTAGTCCGATGGTGTTTGTATGAGTGTCTCCTTGATGCCGACTGCGTTGCCACCTTCTTCAATAATGGTACCTGCCATGGATATCCCGAAAAGATTCACGACTTCATAGAGATGGAAACAAACATAGGAACGAGCTACTACGAACTAGCAGGTATATGAAAGTTTACCAAATGGTTTCTGATACATCGAACTTTTTAAAAATCATTTTATTTGCCAGAAAAAAAGCTCACAATTTCACCATGACCTTTTCATTTGAATATGTCTCTCAGTCAAGAGACTGGTCGATCGTATTCGAATCACTTTGATTAATAAATTTATAACAAAATACGCACCATTAAAATGTTTAAAAGTTAAATTTGACTTTGACCTCTGACCTGTTGACACTGAAAAGTTATCAGCGGATTTCAAATTATATTGCGGACGAGTTTTCTTCTTAGCATAACATTTATCAAAAGGAATATTTTGTGTATTTCTACTAATAGTAAATGACACTTCAACTGGAGGCGCAATGACTTAACATGCATTGTAACGAACAATTATGAAGCTTATTTGTGAAGTAAATGTGGAAACGTAACACAAGATATTGGCTGGTTATGATATTATATTCACACATGCAAAGGTTTATCTCTATATAACATTACCAGATTAAAATGTTTACCATACTAGCATGGATACATTGACGTTTGAGCATGCCCGTGAAACGGTTTAAGGCACTACTTTTGCCAAACACCTGGTTGAATAATAACACTTTATTTATTTCGTTTATCAAATAAGAGACAAAATCAATTTTTGAATCAGATTAATGATAATAATCCGTGGAAATGAATCAATTTTTATGTTACCATCATACTAAACAAGGGACCTTTTTATTTCCGCGGAAGCAAATCTTGAATATGTTTTGGAGAGTCACCAGTGGCTGTTCTACTCTTTAACCCCCTCCTGCTATTGGTCGTCTTTTTCTGAGTTATTATGTCACACACTATTGCTCTACAGTAAATTTTGATGCAAAGACACTGACGCGTTAGCGCCCCATTTAGAACATATCCTTAGAGGAATGGTTAACATAAAAATAAAATCCAATCCCTGTATGGTTGCAAAACATTGCGATGAAAATGGTGTTTGCTTGATATTTTGCTTAATGCAACAATAACATTACATCTATGGCTGTGGAATTAATGTTTCATTAAGTTACCCTTGGACATTTCTAAATTTATGATTCAGAAAAGAATTTGCCGAAAATTGATCTTACACATTGAATTGAGGGTCACAGTGATCTGATGTTAGAGCATTACAGGCCTCTGGTGACCCAGTAATGTTTCAAATGTCATTTAAATATCGCTAACGTGACAAATGCGATGGCCTGAACAGGATTGTATTTCGATCGCCGAAGAAAAGAACTTTTACTAAAGTAATAATGTTTCTCTTCATTTTATCATTGGTTGCTTCATGACTATGTATACAGCCAGGCTATCAGTTGTAATTAAACAAAACACTATGTTTTCAATTGCAGGTCCAGTAGGCAACGTGGCTGCTGGGAAACCAGCTATTCAATCTTCTTATATCGGTGATACTATTTCGTTTGGTCCGGACCGAGCGTTGGACTCTGTTCGCTCTCCGAAACAGGATGAAACTGATCCTAGTCTCATATCATGTGCCCATACGGCCGATGTTGACGAGAATGATGCAGATCACAACCCTTACTGGCAGGTTGATCTTAAATCACGACATCTGGTGCTCTCTATATCTTTTCTTAGCAGATACGAGTGTTGTGGTAAGCAATTTCTCATCATTCATCAACATGATTTCCTATGCTATCTCCTATTCCATATGAGATGTATGAAACGAATCTAGGAAATTGTCATCTGACCTAGCTTCTGACGATATATTAGGATAGATCCACAACAAGAATGCACGGAAAAGGCATTTCATAAGACGGCTATAAAATCTAAATTGGCAGTATCGTCTATGGATATCTTTTCGTAGTGACGTCACCTTCCATGCATGAAGTTATGACGTTGCATTTGAAATATGTAGACTTCAGCTATATGTCATAATGGTCATAAAACATTTATGATGTTGGTGTTCTTATACGGATAGCAGGGTTGTATTGTGATAAATAAATATTGTAAAGGTTTTTTTTCAACATTCATAAAAAACAATATATGTAATAAATATCAGGACCCTCGATTAACAACTGCGGTCATCATAGATATTCTTATTATTTTTGTCAATTGTATGTGAGGATAGATATCGAAATATATGAGCTATGTATCTGATAATGTATTGTTTCGGCACCTTATACATCTAGACAACAGGATTATACTGCAATATTAATATGTCTGTGACGTGTTGTTGAAAACAAATTGAAGTATAATTATAACAGATCTGTGACGTGCTGCTACAGTACAATTATGATAAGACTGTGACCTGTTGTAGTATAATTATGATAAGTCTGTGACTTGTTGTTGTAGTATAATTATAATAAGTCTGTGACTTGTTGTTGTATTATAGTTATAATAAGTCTGTGACTTGTTGTTGTAGTATAATTATAATAAGTCTGTGACTTGCTGTTGTAGTATAGTTATAATAAGTCTGTGACTTGCTGTTGTAGTATCATTATAATAATTCTGTGACTTGTTGTAGTATAGTTATAATAGGTCTGTGACTTGTTGTTGTAGTATAATTATAATAAGTCTGTGACTGGTTGTAGCATAATTATAATAAGTTTGTGACTTGTTGTTGTAGTATAATTATAATAAGTCTGTGACTTGTTGTTGTAGTATAATTATAATAAGTCTGTGACTTGTTGTTGTAGTATAATTATAATAAGTCTGTGACTTGTTGTAGTATAATCATAATAAGTCTGTGAATTGTTGTAGTATAATTATATTAAGTCTGTGACTTGTTGTTGTAGTACAATTATAATAAGTCTGTGAGTTGTTGTAGTAGTATAATTATAATAAGTCTGTGAGTTGTTGTAGTAGTATAATTATAATAAGTCTGTGAGTTGTTGTTGTAGTATAATTAAAATAAGTCTGTGCCTTGTTGTAGTATAGTTATAATAAGTCTGTGACTTGTTGTAGTATAATTATGATAAGTCTGTGACTTGTTGTTGTAGTACAATTATAATAAGTCTGTGACTTGTTGTTGTAGTATAATTATAATAAGTCTGTGATTTGTTGTAGTATAGTTATAATAAGTCTGTGACTTGTTGTAGCATAGTTATAATAAGTCTGTGACCTGTTGTAGTATAATTATAATAAGTCTGTGACTTGTTGTTGTAGTATAATTATAATAAGTCTGTGACTTGTTGTTGTAGTATAATTATAATAAGTCTGTGACTTGTTGTTATATAATAAGTACTTGTTGTTGTAGTATAATTTTAATAAGTCTGTGACTTGTTGTTGTAGTATAATTATAATAAGTCTGTGACTTGTTGTTATAGTACAGTTACAATAAGTCTTAGACATGTTGTTACGGCCGAATTTTAATAAGTCTGAGGTACATATATGAAAAGTGACGTGTTATTACAGCATATTTTTGGTACGCATTGTCTTTAAGAATTTCGCTTTTATTTTAGGTGATCGTAATACACGCCTGAACATCACGGTAGCAAAAACAGATACCGGACCAAGAGCTTTGTGTGTGTATTATCCTGGACCGCCCTTCCAGGGACAGATGAAAACGTTCTTCTGCGAGAAACCAGTGATTGGTCAGTTTGTGAGAATCTCGCGTGATCGTATTAATCTGAATCCATGCGAGGTCGAAGTCTACGGTTTCCCTCTTGCCTAAGTCCTTTATAGGACAATACAAAATCCCTGTTTTAATATCTTGAAGGCAATTCCATCATTGTTTTAGAATGGAAGGGCATTATTGAAAACAAAATTCCTTTTAAAATCTACACATAAGTAAAATTGTTACTTTTACAAAGTAGATTTGCTGAAACAGGATCACAAGGATTGGTATTAGAGAAAGTGTTTGTAGAAAGAGTTTATGAATTGACAAATACATGTTTTAGTTTGATAATCATTGTATTGTATCACGTCTTTCAAAGGACAACATAATTGTGGTTAGTATCTGAAATGTAGAATGGTCTTTAATTGACAACGTAATACATACATACATACATACATACATACATACATACATACATACATACATACATACACATAAACATACATACATACATACATACATACATACATACATACATACATACATACACATAAACATACATACATACATACATACATACATACATACATACATACATACATACATACACATACATAAACATACATACATACATACATACATACATACATACATACAAACATTTCATCTTTTTATCTTAATCCTGATTAACATGTCATCTCTAATTTGTCAGTTTCATCCCGCACTTCGGCTAACACTTTGTGAATTTCATTGTATAATAATTAGATACAAGAATTTTTAAAACTCAAACTGGAATTTTTTTTCTGTCTTGAGCTAAAAAAGATGAAAAATCAGCATTAATGGTATGAACTGAAATAGATTTTTCGCAAAAATTTTTTTCCAAATAAAGTGACATCTTTCATTTCAAAAAGCATACATTAAAAATTAGCCATTCTCTTGGACTATATCACTATCATATAATATACTTTGTTAATGCCACTCATTATAGAAATAGTGATCATTGCTAATATTAAAATGTGTAATTGTACCCAAGTTGGTGTTTTAAAAAGATTGTCAGATTTTGTAATCTTTGTCATTTCTGCTGCTTTGGTCCATAATATATTTTGTGTCTGCGTATGTTTTATGTATACCATTGCTAAATCTGCTTTTTTTCGTTGTTAACCAATTTCTGCCAGAAGGTTTAGACGATCATTATCTTTAGAAAAAAGTAATTTTGATCCATGTAGGTTTTAGTCAATTTATAAATTCTTCATATGAAACATTTTTAGTCCCCCTTCACAACAGTTTGGAATAATTGCTGAGCGTTTTATTTGAGCTATTGGTAATTGCCAGATAAAATTGAAAATATTGTGTGTAAGGACTGAACAACAAATGATTAAATTTGCAATTATTAGGAATTCAAGGATGGTTATCCCCCTCTATGTATTCCAGTTCGTCTTGACTATTAAGGTAACATGCTGTTTATAACAGTAATAGCTTTGTTGGAATTTAAAGCAGTCATGTCTTATAAATTGACTGAGAAATCCATCCCAAATAAGTGGTTGTTCCCCCATTTTAACTTTAATCTGTGATGGTATACATCGGCACTAACTTTTTACTCCCTACTCAAATAACATTTATTTTTCTGTATTTGCTTTCTATTGGGATATTTTAGTATATTTTTCGAACATGTTTATAGCCTCTATGAATTAAGATTTTGAACAGTTTAGAATAAAAGATGTAACATCAGAAAACAGTGAGAACCTGCGGTTTTTGTTATTTATTTGTGTGCCCTTAAAGTTGTTATAATTTTCTTAACCATAATAGCTAGTATTTCGGCTACCTAAAGAAACAGACAATACAAGAGCCTATTGACTCTTAATAAAACAAAGTTGGATAAAAAGCCGATGTGTATAATAGCTAAAACATATTTATAGTAAAAACCTGTATCCATTTCGTTACACAAGTTGATAAAATCAATACTTTTGTAGGAAAGTCCCAGTGCACCTAATGTAATGCTTTTCCAAAGTCGATAATATCAACCTTGTGTTTTACATAATGTTCTTCCACTTAAAATCCTATTTGTGTTCCTAATTTATAGAGTCTTAAACTGATTTTAATGTATTTGCGATACATGCAAAAGCTAATTTTTCAGTAATGTTAAGGAGAGTGACATGTCTTAAGTTCTTTAAATGTTGTCTGGGGTTATTACCTTTTGGAATGCAATACTGTAATACGATGTTTTTGTGTAACTGATAGTTGTCCAATCTATAGCCTTCATTGAGAGATCTTCCAGTTATTGATAGTCATACTACTTACATTCAATTGAATGGAGTTAAACTCTTTGTGTTTCTATATTTTTTTCATGTTGACCTGTAAAGTGTGTATCGTAAAGATAAATAAAACTTAAGTTATCATATTGTGCTTTCAGTTTTCAGTTTAAAACATTATCTTTTATTCATCATACATATACCCTGGCAGTTTAATGTCGTTATTCTCAACTATGGTACTTTTTAACTCAATGTATTCGTATTGTGGAGGAGATGGACCGGGGCTTGGATCTGCCGCTTCTATGTCAGTGGTGAAGGTAGTTTTCATAGGTTACTTCAGGCTTTCAGTCTTCTATTTCTTGCAAGGAAAACGACGGGTATATGGTTTCGAGACAGTCATAAACTAATCACCATCACCCATATTTATACCACTTCAAAGCTATTTTTCAGGTTATAACCCCTTCTGTCCTGCACGAGATTCAAACGAGATTTCTACGAAACTCGAAGAACCGGTAGTTTGAATACACTGTAAAGGTAGCAAGAAACAGCTAATTTGCATTTTCCCTGAAATTATTAGTCATGTATAAGATATACAGGTATAGCAGTTTGGTCATGAAAACTACATCCTTACATGCATATGTATTTAGAAACTACATAACAATTACATTAGTAGAGAGGTGCAATTTGTGCAAATAAAAAAAAATCCGATTTCTAGCATGTGTTTGCCATGGTTACCAACTAAAAAAATGCTAAAGATGCAAAATACTGCTAGTTCCAACTTAATACAACAACTTTATAGAAGAACGTTATGTCTGAACACCTGTTTTGAAATCACCAACACTGTCATGGTAACAAACAACTTACATCTCAGCAAATTCCAACTAGGAAATCCTTCACAACATGACCACGTGTAAACCCTATGAAACGTTTACTTCCGGTAAAGCTAGTTTTTGGTGCGTAGACACAGATTCGAGACTGCCCAAATAGAAATCTCCAACACACAGCAAAAATATTATTCTGAAGAAAATGAAACCCCACTTTTTCCACTTCAACTTGAAAAAAACGATTTTATCAAAGATTTATTTGTTAAATTTTAATTAAAACCTTTATAATGGGGTAATATAATGAACAAAAATATCACCTATGGACACTCCGAGAAACTGTGTACTGCTATCAAGCAAGCTGAAACCCCAAACAAAACAAGATTTTGGCTTTCTCTGAACAAGGTGGACACACAGAATATAAGTTAAGAATTACTTATAGTTATACATATATACCATCAGAATAACAAACATGCAATCCCTTTCATTTCAACATATTTTATTGACAAAAGATGTTAATGTCAATGTGGATTGAATAACAGGCGAAGCCTATATCAATTTTCTCTAGAGTGGTCAGAGTAGAATATTACTACAGAAATATAGAAAATAGAGATAACTCTCACACATCATACACACTAAACTATGTATACATACAATATTACAAATACAACATTTTTTATAATATCCTTTATACATTGAATTATTTAGTCATCAATATGTATGGCCTAACAATCCTTGTGCCCAAAAAAGCACGGTAAAATTTTAACAACTGATACATGAAGAAGCATTTGATATAATTCAGTAATCAATAAGGTATGTACACTATGTATGAATCAACAGCCTTACTCAGCTAGCCTTTACTATATTTGTCTTTAAAGTTAATGTATTATGTAAAATGAAGTGATTTCTAAAAACAAGAGGCGTATATCATCAAGTATAATTTTGTTTGTAGGTCCATTACAAACAGGACAGCTTGTAGAAGAATATTTATATCTATATTATTATGATTTCCATACCTAGTTAGTAACAAAACTCTTTGGTATTATAAAAAGGACATTCCAGAAAGTAATGAGACACTGTTTCATATTCTGCGGATCAGGTACAAGACGACTTTGGTAAGTATACATCGAAGTTTAAATTACTACAATAGTTTCTAAGCTGACATAAAATTATATAAACTCGTCTGTTACCTTTTGTTTTAAAAATTACAGAAGATCCATTTTCTGAAGGAGCATCTACGAATTTTACCACATATAACAAAATCCTAACGACTAAATTGACGAAGATTGCGGCATGTGTAAGAATATGTTTCATCAAAACAATAACTTAAACTCCAGGATGCCAACAACTACAGACGAAACGACTTATGTTTACGACGGACTGCTATTTCACTAGAGGGATTACATCCGGCACCTGTTACCAACACTGCTTCATTGAAAATTGGAAAATTGGAGGATCATGGAAATGAAAGTGAAGAATGAAGAACGATACAGACTCTTCTACATCAGAAATCATCGAAACTAACACCAAGCTGTATGATAAGCGTTATGATTTTCTATATTGTGAATTTTCCATTTCTGGATAGCAATATTACTGTGTTCTCAACCTATGGTGTTTACATGTTACAGTTGATTCGATATTCCTGCAAGAAATCGTCAAATAAAGGACAAACTCGTAACATAGGGTTTCAAAAGATGCAGGTTGTTAGGAAATGATGAGGAAGTTTCAAGGTAATCATAGTGATCTTATTGAGAAATATTCTATATCTTTGTGCGATATGAAGCTGACGTGTTTGATTCCTGTTAGCTTGCCCGGTTGTTCCATTGTCGTATTCCTTGTTTGGTCACGTGGCATCAGTTACTTGGATTGGCCGAGATTTACACGACAGTTGTCCTCGATGAAGCGGAAGACGATTACTCTTCCGAAACACCTTTGTGCTTTTTCAGGAGTCTCCGTGTAAATATGTCTTTTTATATTGTTTAGTTTTATTGGATTTAAGTATGGAGTATGATTGTCTTTTATATTTTTTATTTTCTTCATCTTTTGC